AGGGCAGCGGTGGCGGTGACCTGTGTTCTCTTGCCTCCTCCTCCTCCTTCCTACACGTAAGTAGGGCATGCCCTCCTACAGGCGGGTTTTGGAAGACATGTTCTTAACACTAAAACGAAAAACTGACAAAACACATATATTCCAGAAAGCACGATCATTGCTTACCAGACGATTTTTCCCCAACCCTCCTTGGTTGGGCATTCGTTTTGAATGGAGCACTGCTCGCGCGTCCTTCCTTCCCTCCTTCCTCCCGCTTCCCGCCTCTCCTTGCCTTCCTCCTGTCTGCTCTTGCCGTGTGTGTACCTCTTGTGAACTGGGGGCTGCAATCTGCAAAACTGTCGTCATTTTCGAGGGCTGCTGGTGGGTCCAGCGGAGTGAGGTTCCGCGCAAACCTGAGCGAGACCTCGCCGTCCCCGGGGGGCGATCTGCAAAATGTTCACCACTTTCGAGGGTTGCTGGCCAGTCCAGCGGAGTGAGGCACCGCGCAGACCTGAGCGAGACCTCGCCATCCTCGGGGTGGTGCGATCTGCGAAACTTTCACCTCTTTTGAAGGCTGCTGGTGGGTCCAGCGGAGTGAGGCACAGCGCAGACCTGAGCCAGACCTCGCCGTCCCTGGGGCGCTGCGATATGCAAAACTGTCGCCATCTTCGAGGGTTGCTGGCCGGTCCAGCGGAGTGAGGCACCACGCAGACCTGAGCCAGACCTCGCCGTCCCTGGGGCGCTGCGATATGCGGAATGGTCGCCACTTTCGAAGGCTGCTGGTGGGACCAGCGGAATGAGACACCGCGCAGACCTGAGCGAGACCTCGCCGTCCCTGGGGCGCTGCGATCTAGGAAACTGTCGCCACTTTCGAGGGTTGCCAGTGTGTCCTGCGGAGCGAGGCACCGCGCACACCTGAGCGAGACCTCGCCGTCCCTGGAGCGCTGCGATATGCAAAGCTGTCGCCATCTTCGAGGGTTACTGGCCGGTCCAGCGGAGTGAGGCACCACGCAGACCTGAGCCAGACCTCGCCGTCCCTGGGGCGCTGCGATATGCGGAATGGTCGCCACTTTCGAAGGCTGCTGGTGGGACCAGCGAAATGAGACACCGCGCAGACCTGAGCGAGACCTCGCCGTCCCTGGGGCGCTGCGATCTAGGAAACTGTCGCCACTTTCGAGGGTTGCCAGTGTGCCCTGCGGAGCGAGGCACCGCGCACACCTGAGCGAGACCTCGCCGTCCCCAGGGGGCTGCGACCTGTGGAACTGTCGCCACTTTCGAGGGTTGATGGTGTCTCCAGCGGAGTGAGACACCGCGCAGACCTGAGCCAGACCTCGCCGTCCCTGGGGCGCTGCACTCTGCAAAACTGTCGCCATCTTCAAGTGCTGCTGGTGATCCAGCGGAGTGAGGTTCCGCGCAAGCCTGAGCGAGACCTCGCCGTCCTCGGGGGGCTGCGATCTGTGAAACTGTCGCCACTTTCGAGGGCTGCTGGTGGGTCCTGCGGAGTGAGGCACAGCGCAGACCTGAGCCAGACCTCGCCGTCCCTGGGGGGGGCTTCGATCTGCACAACTGTCGCCACTTTCGAAGGCTGCTGGTGGGCCCTGCGGCGTGAGGCACCGCGCACACCTGAGCGAGACCTCGCCGTCCCTGAGGCGCTCCGATATGCAAAACTGTCGCCACTTTCGAGGGTTGCTGGCCGGTCCAGCGGAGTGAGGCACCGCGCAGACCTGAGCGAGACCTCGCCGTCCCTGGGGGGCTGCGATCTGCGTAACTTTCACCACTTTCGAAGACTGCTGGTGGGTCCAGCGGAGTGAGGCACTGCGCGGACCTGAGCGAGACCTCGCCGTCCCTGGGGGACTGCGATCTAGGAAACTGTCGCCACTGTCGAAGGCTGCTGGTGGGCTCGCCACTTTCGAACTGGTGGGTCCAGCGGAGTGAGGCACTGCGCGGACCTGAGCGAGACCTCGCCGTCCCTGGGGGGCCATGTCATCTTGTTGCTGCCCCGCCGACGTATCAAGCCTCTTGCCCACAGTCTCCTTTTGGACCTTGCGTCTTCCTTAGTGACTCAGGAGTTCACTTAGTTACTCATCTTTTTCCCTGGATTTCGCCGCTCGCAGAAGGATGTGCGTCCATGTCACGTCGCCGCATTCTCGTCGAATCTCCCAAGCTACTCCTGCCCCGCATTGCGCATGGGTTGGGTACGTCGCCAGGGTAAATATTGTTCTTGAGCGTTCCTCCTGTAGAGGGACATGCCCGACTCAACCCAACTCCTCCTCGGCCTGGGTATTATCATTGAACGTTCCTCCTGTAGAGGGACATGCCCGACTTGACCCTGCTCCTCCTCGGCCTTCGGCCTGGGGGGAAGATGGCACACACCCCGGTGCTGACCCGCAGAGCCTGAGCTGGCAACGCCTGCCCCGCAAGCAGGCCCATCAGCGCGCAGCGCAGGCCGCCGGGCCCCATGCGGCAGCCGCGCGGGGGGCGTCTGGTACGGTACCGCAGGAGCTCGGCCACAGGAAACCTTCCCGCGAGAAACCCAACCCTGCGACCCCAGGACGTGCACTGATTTCTGGTGTGGGAGCGTCGCGCACTCCATCGCAAAACCGTCGAGACCCAAGAAGCCCAGGGGGACACCCTGGAGGCAAGAAGGCTGTGTGTGTCCTTGGTGTGGGTTTCCAATAGGGGAACAACAAATGACCAAAACATAAAAATCTGGAGGTCCGCGCGGGTTTCTCGGATCGGCGCTGGACACCCCCCCTCCATGGCGCGCTCCGCGCGCCAGGGGTGGCGCCGGAGGCGCCGCCGGGGGGCCCCAGCGCCGATCCGAGAAATCCGCGCGGACCTCCGAGCTTTCTGTTTTCTATGTTCGTTCCCCTATCCAAGGAGGACAGGGAGGAGAGAGGCTCGAAGGCGTCGCATGGAGGTTGGCAGGGAATGCGGGCGATGAGCGCGCAACCCCCAGGCCCCACCTCGCCCGCTCCGTGCCCTCGTCATCCCGCCATCTCGCCTCGCCCGCGGAGGAAGAGCTTGAGCGGCAGCAGGTATTCTTCCCCGCTGCGGCGCCGATGCGCCAGAGGGCCCGCTGCAGAGGAACAAAGAACGGCGTCAACATAGACTTTCGATGGGCCGCGCGGATTTCTCGGATCTTCGCCAGTCCCCCCTCCCTGGCGCGCGGAGCGCGCCAGAGGCGGCGCCAGAGGCGGCGCCGGAGGAGGGCTCCAGCGCCGACGCGAGACATCCGCGCGGACCTCCGAAAGTCTATGCTCACGCCGCGACTTCGCTTCTGCGACGTCGGTGCACCGCTCGGCACGCGCAGCGGCATTGGCTGCGGAGAGCGCCGGCGGTGGCTCCCCGGCGCGGGGGCGCGCTGTACAGGGCAGCAACTAGCGCGTTGACACGGGGGCGGCGGAGGGGGGTGGCGCCAGGGGCGGCAGCAGAGGCAGAAGCGCGGTCTGAATGGCTCCTCCGATTGATAGGGCTGCGGGTTGCGCACAGGCAGCCCCCGCAGGTAGTCGCGGAGAGCCTCCACAGGCCCCCCGAGAAGTCCCGGCTGGCCTCAACAGGCCCCCCGGGTAGTCGGTGATGGCATCCACAGGCCCCACAGTAGTTCAGGGCGGTCTCAACACCCTGGCGCCGCCTCCGGCGCCGCCCCTGGGGCGCTCCGCGCCCCAGGCAGGGTTAGGGTGTTAAGAACGCCATGGACTGCTCGGGGGGCCTGTTGAGGCCAGCTGGGACTCTCGGAGGGCTGTTGTGGCCAGCTGGGACTACCTGCGGGGGACGTCTGTGCGCAACCCGAAGCCTTACCGCCTCTGGTCGGGCCTCCTCCTGCTCCCAGAGCCTATCGGCCTCTCCGAGCATAGGGCACACAGGCACTACTCCTCAAATAGAGCATGGGAGGCAAAGAGGGCATCGACGCAATGGACAGCAAGCGTGTGAAGGTTGAGACGAGCGACACGCAGTTGAGGGGAGCCAAAGCGGCACTCTGAGGGACGGAGAGAATCAAGCCTGGTGGAAGAAGGCAATGACGTGAGGGAGCTGAGGAGGGGCGATGTGGAGGACGGGAGGCGTTGGCGGACGGGAGGGAGGGCAAGGCGGAGGACGAAACGGATGGACGGGACCAACCAGGTGTGAGGCGAGGAAAAAGCAGTTGGTGGCGAAGGGGGATGAGGGCGCAAGAAGAGGGAGAGAAAGCTAGAGCAGGTCAGAGGGGGGAAGCTGAAGAAGAGGAGAAGAAAGGATGCTTTGAGATTGCGGGGGTGACAAAGAGGATCTGAGAGGGGAAACAGTGTCTTGCGTCTCGCCCTCCTCCTCCGCCTAATCCCCTACTCCTCCTACTCCTCCTGCCCCTCTCAGCCCCTTCGCCCTGTCCATCTCCTCCTCCTCCTCCTCCTCCCTCCTCCTCCTCCTCCACCTCATCATCATCATCAGCATCATCATCATCATCATCATCATCATCGTCATCATCATCATCATCATCATCAGCAGCATCATCATCACCATCATCATCACCATCGCCATCACCAACATCATCAGCAGCACCATCACCATCACCATCCATCACCATTATCATCATCAACATCATCACCATCATAATCAGCATCGCTGTCATCATCATCACCGTCATCACCATCGTCATCATCATCATCGTCATCATCATCACAACCAGCATCATCAGCATCATAATCAGCATCATGCTCAGCATCATCACGACCAGCATCATCAGCATAAACGACATCACCATCGTCATCATCATCGTCATCATCAGAATTCTCATCATCACAATCATCATCAGCAGAAGCATAATCGTTGTCATCATCATAATAAAATGAAAATCAATGAATAAAAAAGGATGAGTAACGACGAATGAAAACATCGTGATAATAAGAATAAGAAGAAGAAGATGATTAATGATCAGAGGTTGGGGGGTGAGATCGAAGTGAAACGGAGATCCCCCCAAAGGGAAATCGGTTTCGGTTTCGTGCTCGTGCGTGCCGTGCGTGCGGGCGAGGCGAAGCTGCGTGGGCGGGCGCGAGGAAAGTCTCCTGTGGCTGAGGCGCGGCCGGACCAAATGATTCCCCGGACCAAATGATCTTCCCTCCGGCAAGCGGTGGCCAGCGGTGTCCCGTCGGTGTCCCGCCGGTGTCCCGGTGTCCCGCTGGTGCGAAAACGATAGTGAGACCTATGACGAAATCGATTGTGAGATCAATAATGAGATAGATAGTGAGACCGATAGTGAGATCGATCGTGAGATCGATAGTGGGATCGATCGGAGGTTGGGGGGTGAGATCGAAGAGGAACGGAGAGCCCCCCAAAGGGAAAACGGTTTCGGTTTCGTGTTTGTGCGTGCCGTGCGTGCGGGCGAGGCGAAGCTGCGTGGGCGGGCGAGAGGAAAGTCTCCTGTGGCTGAGGCGCGGCCGGACCAAATGTTTCCCGACCGGCAAACGGGGCCGCGCGGTGTCCCGCCGGTTTCCCGCCGGTGTCCCGCTGGTGTCCAGGTGTCCCGCTGGTGCGAAAACGATAGTGAGACCGATAGTGAGATCGATTGTGAGATCGATTGTGAAATCGATAATGAGATCGATAGTGAGATCGATCGAGTGAGATCAATGGTGAGATCGACTGTGGCATCGATAGTGAGATCGATAGTGGGATATACGGTGAGATCGAGTGAGTAAGATCGATAGTGAGATCGATCGAGTGAGATCGATACAGAGATCGATAGTGAGATTGATAGTGAGATCGATAGAGTGATGCCGATAGTGAAATCGATAGTGAGATCGATGGAGTGATCTCGATAGTGAGATCGATAGTGGGATCGAAAACAAGATCGAGAGTGAGATCGACAGTGAAATTGATCGAGTGAGACCGATAGTAAGATAGATCGAGTGAGATCGATAGTAAGGTCGATAGTGAGATCGACCGTGGGATCGATAGTGAGACCGATAGTGAGATGCACATCGAAATGCAGATCAAAATGCAGATCGAAATGCAGCTCGACATGCACATCGATAAGCAAATGCAAATGCAAATCGTCAGGCACATCGACATCCCGTACTGTATGCTGTGCCAAGAGCGAGCAGCAACGCAACAATCTCTGAACACCAAGGCTCCCAGTACGACACGTTGCCCATTGCTGGCACCCTCCCCCCCAACCTCTTTATCACCCGCAGGGTGGTCGTATAGGTAATGATAGTTTTAACCGTCAGCATCAGCGTCATCATCATCAGCATCAGCGTCAGCATCATCATCATCGTCATCAGCAGCATCAGCATCAGCATCAGCACCAGCACCAGCATCAGCATCAGCAAGCATCGTCATCACCATCATCAGCATCATCATCATAATCAGAACCATCATCATCACCATTATGCGCCTCCTCCTCCTCCTCCCCCTCCTCCTCCTCCTCCTCCTCCTCCGCCTCGGCGGCGGCGGCGAAATCGTCAGCGTCATCACCATCACCATCACCATCATCATCTTCATCCCTCCTCCCCTCATCCACTTCCTCCTCCACCTCATCCTCCTCATCCTCCTCATCCTGCTCCTCCTCCTCCTCCATCTCCTCCTCCTCTTCCTCCTCATACTCCTTCCTCATCCTCTCACCTCTCTCCCTCCCTCCATCCCTCACTCTCACTCCTCATCATCTTCATCCTCATCTTCAACCTTGCCCCTGTCCTTATCTCCCTAGACCGGCGACTCGATGTTCCAAGCATATGGACCTCTCGACTCCTTCCTTGTGATTGGCTTTTTATCCTAAGCCGTTCGTTGACCGTCAGAACATCTTGATGGTCGATGGAGGCATGTACCCGTCGGTCGGAAGAGGTGGGTAGAAACATGAAGTGGGAATGCGCTGAAAGTAGATTGGACGTCCGCCCGCCCTCCTGAAAAGGAGGAAAGAGGGAAAACCGATCGACCCTTGAAGTAGGAAGGCCTCTAAAGTAGATTAGGATTGAAGAACGCAGAAGTACCTACTTTCAACGACCAGCGTGTAAGAGGTATGGGCCCCCCTCCTAGACGCGTCGGCACTTCCAGCTTCCCCCCCCCCTGAGCAGGTGAAGCCCTGGCCCTGAAGTTTCTGGCCCTCCTTCTCCTCATCCTCGGCCTCCTCCCGCTTCGCACCGGGCCCAAAGAAGGAGCATGCAATGACGACAATGCCGGCTGGCGCAAGCCAGACATCCTCTGAACTCCTCCGCGCCCGCCCCCAGATGCGGGGAGTAGGAAGTTCTCGCCAACGCTCGGACGTCCAATACTAATACTTTTGTCGTGCTTTTGTTACAAATGATCCTAGATGCTTCTCGAAAGTCCTGGCCAGAAAAACATGCACACGCCCGAGGGATGCCAAGAGTTGGCGGCTGCGCCGCTCTTGGAGGCCACTGGGGGGGGGGCACGAAGGAGAGCCCCGAGGCGTAGGGAGGTGCGAGCAGAAATCGAGGGGCCCCCTCCCCCAGGCAAGACGAAGCCAGGCCGAGGATACAGTAGGAGCTCGACCACAAGACACCTTCCACAATAATCCCAACCCTGAGACCCCAGGACGTCCATTGATTTTTAGTGTGGGAGCGTTACGCTTTCCATTGCAAAACCATCGAAATCCAAGAAGCCCAGGGCACCCTGGAGGCAAGCAGGGTGTTTCTTGGGCTTCCACTGAAAAGTTGGGTGAGGATAAATCGAGAATTCCTGAGATCCCGCGGCTTTGGAGGATGTCTCGGGCGCCGCGGCCTTATCAGAGCCTTCCTCAACGCGCGGAGAGCGTTCTGGAATGCTCCGGAACGGATTTGTCCTCGTCCTGGCCCCGCCTGACCAGGAACGCTTGTGGCTTGTAGCGAGGGGAGAGCTCTCAGTCGTCGCAGCCCCTGCTGTACTGGTAGCAGCACCAGTCCTTCTTCCGGTCGGGCCATACGTCGCGCCAGTGCTGATAGTCCTCCATGCAGTCGTACTCGTCCTCCGCGGTCGTCCTCCATGCAGTCGAACTCGCAGTCGTGGCCCTGGGGGGCCAGGAATCAGCATGAGGGATATGACTTGCGGACGACGGCGGACGGCTTCCCCGCGGGCGCCAGACGCCCTGCAGGGCCCATTTCGATCCGATCGGTCTCGTTCGATATCGATTTCGGCCGACCACGGTCCGAATCGATTCCGATATTCCGAGAATCCGGTGCAGCCTGATGCGTGCATGGCGCTCTTGTTTATGCTGGCGCGGAGGACTCGATTGGATCTCGTCGATCCCAATTCCGTGTCGATGTAGCCCAATCCGACACACATTCCGATTCGATCCGATACCCCGACTCGATGCTGACTGATGCTGCCATTTTCGGGGGGCTGGATGGAAACCCCTTCGGCAAATCACCCCCTAGAGGAAAAGGCTGGGGGCCAACAAAACGGCGGGCACAGGCCGTTCAAGAGGGTGGCCGTGTACCACCCCCTCCTCCTCATCCTCATCCTCGTCCTCCCTCCTCCTCCTCCTCCTCCTCCTCCTCCTCCTCCTCTTACCCCTCCTCCTCCTCCTCCTCCTCCTCCTCCTCCTCCTCCTCCTCCTCCTCCTCCTCCTCCTCCTCCTCCTCCTCCTCCTCCTCCCCCTCCTCCCTCTCCACGGGCGGACAGAAGGGAGGGGATGGCAAAAAGGGGGGTTGGCGAATCCGCTCGCGTAGCGGTGGAAACTCCCGACGGCGGGGGTCAAATCAGCGGCACGCAGCAGATGTCGCAAACCCGCTTTCCCAATCCCACTACGTTTAAGGCGAAGCCAAGGCGAGGACAAACTCGGGTGAGTACCAATCGAGAACCTCTGAGGTCCGGCAGAGCTTGGGGATGCCTCGGGCGACGCGGCCTTCTCGAAACCTTCCGGAACGCTCCGAGAGCGTTCTGGAATGCTCTGGGACGGCTTCCCAGGCATGCGACGTCCTGATTTTTTCAGGACGGCGTCCCTGGAAGTCCCGACCCGTTCCCTGGGACCGGTTTTTCGTCCTGAATCGTTGTTTGACGGTCCCGAGGCCCAGCGAGGGCCCACCGGGGCCGAAATTTGTCAAAAACCTCCCGTCCTGATATTTTGACGACGCGATCATGTCTGGGTTTGTTTCCTCGTCCTGGCCCCGTCCGACCTCTCGTCCGACCCGACCCTCGAGAGATGCCACGAAGAGCGGCCCCGCGGGTGGATGTCGCGGCTCGCCGTGGCCGGGCGGGGGCTCCGCCAATCTCCCCAAGCCCTCTCCCGAGGAGGGACGACAGGTGAGTAACCAACAAAGGGCCCGTTTGCAGGGCCAAAAACATTAGGGATAGGGTGTTGTTTTGTTCAATGCTGCAGATGCATCGAACAGACCGCCCAAATGTATGAGCCCTCATGCGAGGACGGACGGGAACCTCAGCGAGGCCATGTATTCGTCGTGTTAGGGTGAGGGGCTCTTCTGTGCTCGATGAAGGCGGGGGCCGGCTCAGCGGGGGGACAAGCATCGGCCTGGAATCGGCGATGCCTCGCCGATGGATCGGCGAGAGGCTGCCGAGGGCGAAGCCACACGTTCTCCTGGTCAGGGTGTGGGCAGTCGGGCCCCTCTCGGCAGGGAAGGAACGGGCGATTGGCTTGGGGTCGATGCGCCCCCCTTATGAGCCTATCCCCCTCCAGAGGCCTCCTAGATAGGGGTCGGAGCAGATGGGGTCGAAGGATCGCGCCGCATCGCCGATGCATGGCGATCCATCGCCGACGCATCGGCGATGCACCTGCGACGTCGGCGCTGCATCGGCGCCATCGACGTGGAGAAAATCGGGCTCCACATCGAGCCGCATCGCCGATGCACGGGCGACGCGGCGCGATCCTCCGAACCCATCTACTTCGACCCCATCTAGGAGGCCTAGACCCACCCTCTCACGTTGCCCATGAGGTCAGCGCAGCCAGCCCCCCTCTCCAGGATCTACGCAACCGTGGCGTTCCAGAACCAGCCTCGCCTCGCCATCGCTCGGACATCCACTTCCTGTGTTTTGTTGCGGTTTCGCGCGTGTTTTGGCGGCGGCGAGCGAAAGAAGGAAGCGAGAAGGGGCGGGCCTGCTAAGAAGGCTCGGGAGCCCCCTGCTCCTGAGAAGTCTTCCTCAGCCTTCCCCGAAAGCACAAAAAAAAACCTCTCGGAAGGCGCGAGGGCTTCTGAGAAGTCCCGCCGCCTTCTGAGAAGGCCATCTACTTCTCACCCCAGACATGCGACGTCCTGATGTTTTCAAGACGGGGCCCCGGGAAGTCCCGACCCTTTCCCCGGTACCGGCTTTTTCATCCTGAGTCGTTTCTTGACGGTCCCGAGGCCCGGCGAGGGCCCCCCGAGGCCGAAATTGGCCAAAAACCTCACATCCTGATTTTTGCCCCCACATCCCAAGTGGGCTTCTTGTTTTCTCTGCACACCCCCCGCGCAGGAAAGAACACCCTCTCCTCTTCTCTAACCGCACACTCATTCACTCAATCATTCACACACATCATCACTCACACTCACTCACTCAACCACTCACTCACCCACTCACACACCCACTCGCACATGCATTCACGCACTCATCATCGTCACTCACTCACGCACTCACTCACTCACTCACCCACCGACCCACCGTTTCACTCACGAAAACCGTCGTCATCATTATCATCACCATCATCAGCATCAGCATCATCATCAGCATCATCAGCATTACTCTCATCACCATCATCAGCATCAGCATCATCAGCATCAGCAGTGTCATCCTCATCTTCACTCAGTCACTCAGTCATTCACTGACTCACTCACTCATCTCAGGCGGGAGCCTCGTCTGTGAGCGCACTGAAAAAAACAGACATCTCAAGCGAGAGCCCTTTCCCTCTTGGACCCGCAGCTCAGGTTTGCAATCCGAACAGGTCATCGGGAACATGTCACTGTCGTCACTGTTGGGCTTCTCAGGCTTGGATATGGAGGAGATATCGGGCGGCAGCCTCGCCACTTCTGGGCCCCCTGAAGCCTGAATATGGAGGGCATATCAGGCGGGAGCATCGTCTGTGAGTGAATTGCGAAGAAGTCTCAGACGAGCCCCCTCACTATGGGGCCCGCAGCTCATGTTTGCAATCCGAGCGGGTCATCGGGAACTTGTTTGTCAGGCTTAAACATGGTGGATGGATCGGGCGGGAGCCTCGTCTGTGAGTGAATGGCCAGGACTTATCAAGCGGAAGCCCCCTCCGTATGGGGCCAGCGGCTCATGTTTGCAACCCGAACGGGTCATCGGAAACCTGTCACTGTCGTCGCTCTTGGGCTCCGCAGGCTTGGATACGGAGGAAATATCAGGCGGCATCCTCGTCTGTGAATGAATTGCGGGCGAATTTCAGGCGGGAGCCCCCTCCCTATGGGGCCCGCAGCTCACGTTTGCAATCCGAACGGGCCATCGGAATGTTAAAACTGTCGCCCTTGTTGGGCCCCCTGGGGCCTGAAAGTGGAAGAAATATCAAGCGGGAGCCTCGTCTGTGAGCGAAGCGCGAGGAAGTCTCAGGCGGGAACCTCCGCCCTATGGTGCCCGCAGCTCATGTTTATAATCCGAGCGGGTCATCGAAAAACTTGTAACTGTCACCCCTCTTGGGCCCCTGAGGCCTGAATATGGAGGAAGTATCAGGCGGGAGCCTCGTCTGTGAGTGAATCGCGAGGAAATCTCAGGCGGGAGACTCCGCCCTATGGGGCCCGCAGCTCATGCTTGCAATCCGAAGCGGGTCATCGGAACCTGATTAACGTCGTCACTGTTGGGCTCCTGGGGCATGAGCATGTAGGAAATATCAGGCCGGAGCTTCGTCTGTGAGTGACTTGCGAGGAAGTCTCAGGCGGGGGCCCCCTCCATATGGAGCCCGCAGCACGTTCGAAATCCGAAGCGGGTCGGAAAACTTGAAACAGTCGTCATTGTTGGGCTCCTGGGGCCTGAACTCACGTGGCAAAGCTCGGGGCCACACGCCGTGCGCCGCTCGGGGCTCACCATGACGCACGCGTCCTACCTGACCTCAACGCTGTCGCAGGGCCAGACGGTGCGCAAGAGCGTCACCATCGACTGCGCGAGGGACGAGGACGCTGGCAGCACGGGCATGTTGGACGACCAGTGGTGGCTGCACCTCTACGTCATGTTCTCCCGCGCCACGTGCATGCGGAGCACGGTGATCCTGCGGCCGCCGCCGCGAGAGTTCCTGGAGCGAGGGCCGCCGGCATCCTTGCGGAATGATATCCTGGAGTTCGACACCACAGCGGAGACCTCCAGGGCAGAGGCGGAGCAGCTCACGGCTGAGTTGGGTTTCGTGCCGCCCCCCGCCTGAGCGCGGCGGCGCCGTGCTCGAAACCCGCGGGGTTATCCCAACGGCTTGGTCTCGCGCGCCAGCGGCTCGCGGGGCGGCCCCGACGGCCTGGCCCGCGGGGCTGTCCCAACGGCTGCGGCGCAATGTGGCAATTAGAACTTGCGGCCATTCTGGCCGAGGCAGCGACGGCACAGAGGAAAATCGGCATGCGCGCTCATGCAATAGAAAGGGGAGGAGGTGGCGGGGGATGAAACAAAAACAAAAAGGCGAGGAGAGGACAACGGAGGGAGCGGGAAGAGAGCCAGCGCCAGGGCGGGGAGGAGAATGCTGCAGAGGAGACAGTAAGGACGCCTTAACAACCACGAGGACGAAGATGAGGGATATTTCCAAACTAGCCGAGAGGATTCTCATGCGGCGTCCTACCGTCGGAGTAAGTCGGGAGCTGCGGGCCCCACAGGGAGGGGGCTCCCGCCTGAAACTTCCTCGCAAGTCACTCAGCTCCGCCCGCGGTCGCCGGCGGAGTGCCAGCAATCCGAGGAGAAAAAGGTACACCCACTCCGCTACCCTTCCATTGGTTCCCCTTCTTTGAGCCTCCTGGGTGGCCCTCGTCGCCACCGCCGGACACGCCTCGAAATTCTGATCAGAACGCAACCCGGGAGAGGCCCGGGCACGAGCGATATCGGTACCCCTTGGCTTCTCCAAGCAGAAGCCAGCGGAAATCAAGACCGGCCTTCCAGGAGACGCACGACGAAGCCAGAACGAGGACAGGATCGGGTGAAGACTGGCGGCTCTGGAGGATGTCTCGGGCGGCGCGGCCTTCTCAGAGAGTTCAGGAATGCTCTGACAGCGTTCCGGAACGCTCTGGAACGGGTTTATCCTCGTCCCAGCCCCTTCCGAAGACGTCAACTTTGTGGGGTGCAGGATTTTCCGAATCCCGAATCAGCTATCTGGGGCCTGCTCAGAGACCCAACGTATTGAAAAAACGAAACGGTTCTAACCGCTTTCGCCATCTATAGAGACCACCGCTGGGCCCCCGCACCGTCCAACAACTGCTCAGGATGAAAATCCGGTCCCCAAGGAGGCGTCGAGACTTCAGGGGACCCCGTGTTGAACCAAACATATTGGTATCGGCTCTCTGGGTATAGGCTTAGGTCGGGCATGTCCTCCTACAGGGGGATGTTTTGGAAACTTGAAAACGAGTCACTTTTTTTTTTTTTCGTGCGGCGCGCCGACATGCGCAAAGATGGGGAAACCCAAAAGTACCGATACCGCTACTGCCTGGACCTCTCCTGGGGTACGTTCCCTGGCCTGCGGGTGAGAAGCACGGTGCCAGGTGCCAGCAAGAGCTGTGTGGGCCATGCGCACTTGAAACAAGAAATCGCCAGCTTCCCAACTGATGGGAAGGGGGCCCCTCGATGCTACAGCGTTGCACCGAGGCCGGCACTTCCGAAATGGTCAGAATAATCAACGAAATCGTCCCCAGACTATTTTTTGACGAGGTTTGACTTTTCCTCCTGTAGAAGGACAGGCCCGACTTAGGCATGGGCCTTGGTGGGTCTGCCTTCCTGGCCTATAGGGAGGAGAGCCGATGTCCGCCAAGCTGCGGGCCCGGACCCACGGAGGCCTGGGAGCGCTGCTCCGTACGGTAGGAGCCCTTGCTGCCGCGAAAGCATGGGAGCTATTCCTAGACATGATCGCGTCGTACGAAAATCAGGACGGGAAGTTTTGGCAGTTTTCGGCCCTGGGGGGCCCTCGCCGGGCCTCGGGACCGTCAGAAAACGATTCAGAACGAAAAACCAGTCCCGGGGAAAGGGTCGGGACTTCCAGGGACGCCGTCTTGGAAACATCAGGACGTCGCATGTCTGTCCGCGAAAAATATTCCACAAGAAACCCAACCCTGAGACCCTAGGGCGTCCGTCGATTTCCGGCGTGGCTTTCCATCGCAAAACCCTCGAAGCCCAATAAACCCAGAGCACCCTGGAAGCAAGGAGGGAGTTTCCCAGCAAGGGTCGCATGTGTCTCCACTGTACTCAGGTGTCGACCGAAGCAGGCCCTGCGCTTCCGTCAACACGACACTCGTCCGAAAGGCTGCCCAAAACGGCGCTTCGAGGCACACCCCTGGAGCCGCGACAAGACCCCCACGGCAGGCCGCGCGACGAGAACGAAGACGACTGACGAGAGTGCCGCCCCAAAACGGCGCTGCGGCCGACTACCCCCGGAGGCCTCGACCCTTTTCCTGAGGCCAGCCCTTCCTCCTGAGTCGCTTGTGACGGTCCCAGGGCCCGGCGAAGGCCGAAGATATCGAACAACCTCCCGTCGTGATCTTTGCCGCACCTCGACCCCAGAGCTCCCGAGCCCTCCCCCACGGGGAAGTTGCGTCACGGGTCCATTTTCGATGGCCCATGGGCCCGAAAGCAGAATCCGGAGGCAAATTTGTTTGGCAACGCCCCACTGGAACGCATACATCGTCGGAAATCGGGGCCCCTCGACGGCGCACCGGCCTGGAAAAAACATGAGATACCAACAACGTACTCCCCAGACCTCTCCCGAAGTACGTACTAACCAAAACTTGGAAGGCGAATCCAGCCTCGGCGACGAGAGCTCCCAGGAGGCCCAAAAGGCAAAAACGAGGTGAGGGCAGCAGTGTCAGCACATGTTCCCCCTCCGAAGACCGACTCCTACGGTCCTACGGTCGAACTCCCTCTCCCGGCAGCCTCGGGGTGGTCGACGGTGCGGCGGTGCAGCCAACGCCGCGGATGCGGCAGCACCCCGCGATGTCCTCGGCGCTCCAGCCAGCCGTCTGCAGGTCGCCCGGGGAGGCGGCCGCCACCTCTGGGTAATAAAGGTTGTTATCCCAGTGCGACCCTACCTGGGAGTTGGGGCCTCTAGGAAAGCAACATTAGTAGGAGCGGTAAATGCCGTCCTCCTCCTTCTCCTCATCGTCGTAGTTGTAGCAGTAGCGGTAGTAGTAGTAGTAGTAGTAGTAGTAGTAGTAGTAGTAGTAGTAGTAGTAGTAGTAGTAGTAGTAGTAGTAGTAGTCGTAGTAGTAGTAGTAGTAGTAGTAGTAGTAGTAGTAGTAGTAGTAGTAGTAGTAGTAGTAGTAGTAGTAGTAGCGCCAGAACCGCCGACGCCACGCCGTAAGTGAAGCAGCAGCAGAAGCAGGCAGTGGATGCTGTGCTGCGCTATGCTATACTATGCTATGCTCTGCTCTGCACTGCTATACTATGCTATGCTATGCTATGCTGCGCAATGCTATGCTGGGCTAGGCTGGGCTAGACCAGGCTAGGCGATGCTGCGGTATGCTATGCTATGCTGCGCTATGCGATGCTGCGCTATGCCATGCTATGCTATGCTGCACTATGCTATGCTATGCTATGATATGCTGCGATATGCTATGCTAGGCTAGGCTATGGTATGATATGATATGCGGCGCTATGCTATCATATGCTATGTTATGTTATGGTATGATGCGCTATGCTATGCTATGGTGTGTTGCGCTATGATATGCTATGTTATGATGCGCTATGGTATACGGTGCTATGCTATGATATGATGTACTATGCTATGCTGAGCTGTGGTATACTAAGCTAGGCTATGATATGGCATGGTATGTTTTGATATGCTGCGCTATGATATGATATGATATGATATGCTATGATATGACACGATATGCTGCATTATGTTATGATGCGCTCTATTCTGATATTATATGATATGATATGATATGATATGCTACGATATGGTATGACATGCTATGTTATGTTAATGCTGCGCTAAGCTAAGCTAAGCTGAGCTAAGCTGAGCTAAGCTAGGCTAGGCTACGCCAAGCTAAGATAAGTTAGGCTAGGCTAGGCTAAGCTAAGCTGAGTTAAGCTAGGCTAAGCTAAGATGAGATAAGCAACGCTAAGTTAAGGGGACGTAGCTGGGGGAACCGCGGGGCGGATCCTGGGGGAACCGCCCGGGGCGAGGCCCACTGCCCGGCCCTTTAAGCAAACCGAGTAAGAACCCTTCTAGGCAGAGCCTAGGTAGGGAATTTAAATAATGGATTAACATAGAGTGCGGGGTTTGGACAACGAACCATTGGATAAGGAGTCCAGGGTCTGGAAGCTGGTGGAACTCCAATCGTGGAGTGGCCATGGAAATCACCGCCGCCCTCATATGATGAGGAATCATCCATGGCCTCAAGCCTCCTGGGCACATTGCTTCATGAACGTCCCAACCGTGCATCCTTCCGAGGCCCCGACGGATTTCTGGAATCGGCGCTGGAACCCCCATCCTGGCGCGCGGACCGCGTCTGAGGCGGCGCCAGAGGCGCTGCCTGGGGGGGCCCAGGGCAGACCCAAGAAGTCCGCGCGGAGCGCCAAGAGTGTATGTGTGTATGCCGTTTCGGTTTCTTCTTCGATCCATGATGACCCTCGCCAAGGGATCAGCCTGGATCTCCCAAAAAGCTGTTGCACTGCGCCTCCTTTGCTAGAGGCCTCCTAGATGGGGCCGGAGTAGATGGGGTCGGAAGATCGCGCCGCATCGGCGATACATCGGCGATGCATCGCCGATGCATCGGCGATGCACTGGCGATGCATCGGCGACGTCGGCGATGCATCGGCGACGTCCGCGTGAAGCAAACCGGGCTCCGCATCGAGCCGCATCGGCGATGCATCGGCGATGCGGAGCGATCCTCCGACCCCATCTACTCCGACCCCATCTAAGAGGCCTAGATTTGCTGCTCCGAGCCTCGTCGCACACGGAGCCCAGCCAGCCCCCCAGAGGCTCCTGCAGCGCGTCTCCTCGCGGGCCACGCCGCAGGACCCGGGCCTCCCTCGAGGCCGGGAGCCGAGGCACGGCAGGCGGCGCTCTGCCGTCGCTCGGCCCCTCGCCGGGCCCCTGCCTCCTCCTCCTCCTCCTCCTCCTCCTCCTCCTCCTCCTCCTCCTCCTCCTCCTCCTCCTCCTCCTCCCCCTCCTCCTCCTCCTCCCCTGCCTCCTCCCCTGCCTCCTGCTCCTCCTCCTCCTGGGTGAAAAGCCGATCCGGGGAATGGGTCGAGACTTCCGTTCATGAGGGCAATCCTGGAGGCCTCGCGCAGCAACTGTGGACCCGAAGTACGTCGGATCCACGACGGACTCACGTCGGGATCACGTCGGACTACCTCGGAATTGCATCGGATTTACGTCGGACTGACGCTGGAGCATCGCCGCGCGAGCATCGACCCATGGCTTACGGAGCTGACGAGTGGATTAGATAACATAACTGTTACGCGCCGCGCGAGGCCTCCAGGATTTTCCTCACAACTAATGTGGTAACTTCGTCAGCGAAGAGCCCAGGGGAGAAGTGAGAGGGGGCAGGCGTTCTGAAGAGGAGGCGGGGCTTCTCAGAAGCCCCCCTCGGGCCTTCTGAGAAGCCGCCCGTGTCTTCGGAGGAGGCCTCCAGAGCTTCTGGGAAGGCCGGAGGCCTCCTGGGCCTTCTGAGAACCCAGACCCCGACGTCGTGATTTTTTCGCAGCGTCGACACCCAAAGGCCTGGACCCCTTCCGCAGGACCGGCTTCTCCTCCTGAGTCGTTTTCTGGCGCTCCCAAGGCTCGGAGAGGGCCCCCAGAGGCCGAAAGTAAAGACAAACCTCCCGTCGTGATTTTGTTCATAACGCGAGGGGGTCTGGGGAGAAGGCCCACCCCCTCCCACGTCCCCCCTCCCAGGCTCGCCGCCGACTCGGTGGGTGCCCACGCTGTGAGTAGAGCAGCTCGGCGGACTTCTGGGAGCGCGACCCCTGGCTCAGAGAGGCCTTAGGTCGGGCATGTCCTCCTACAGGCGGGCTTGGGAGGAAAAATTAAAACAATCAAGAAATATTCAAACATTGTCAAAATAATACAAAACATCGCCCCCTGACAATTTTGCAACAATTTCAAAACATTCTTCCTGCAGAGGGACGTGCGCGACTGAAGAGTGGCCCTTGGGTACGCCGCCTCTGCCGATCGCCGCATCTGCGCTGCGTCGGCGGCGGCCCACGCGCTGCGGTCTGCCTCCCCCCAGGAGGAGGAGGAGGAGGAGGAGGAGGAGGAGGAGGAGGAGGAGGAGGAGGAGGAAGAGGAGGAGGAGGACCCCGCCGTGCGCCCCCCCCCCCCTCCCGAAAGCCGCCCATCGCATCAAAGATCACTCCTGCCAAGGGCCGCTCCGACGCCCCGAGATCCGAGCTCCTGACCCCCTGCGGGGTCCCTCCCCGGAGGCCTCGACTCCCTCCCCGGGGACCGGCGTTTCATCCCGAGTCGTCGCTTGACCCGGGGCCAGGCGAGGCCATCTGACGGCCGAAGGTCTGAGAGAAAGCTCCCGTCGTGACTTCTGCCCCAGCGCGGCCCCAAAGCCAACTTGCTGCTTCAGTGCGTGGGGTGCCTGGGTCTGGCGTGTGGGCGGTCCTCGGTCGCCCACGCCCAGAGCGGTGGCGGCGCCAGCGCCGGGCGTCCAGATCACCAGGGCCGCGAGCACCAGGACCACGCCCAGCAGCGGGCAGAGCAGCGCCAGGGGCAGGGCCAGCACCCTGACCTGAGGCGGCAAAATAGAGGGCAGAAAATCCACCCCCAGAATCATCACCCTAACACGCGAAGTCGTTTCGCAAACGCACCCGAAGAAGGAATCAGACAGGGGAGGGCTGTTTAGTAAACGCCCAGGGCCGTTTAGTAAACGCATGACCTGAAGAGGTATGTCGTTCCCAGCGCACGTAAGGACCACGTCCAAAAAAGCATGTCGAGCACCCAGACAAGCATCAACAAACAGTGTCGAACGAGTCTCGCCTCCCAGGGCCCGACACGTGAAAACCCTCAAGATTCAGTACTTTCTTGGTGCTCAAAAATCTTTCTGGTGATCAAGGGAAAAGTAGGTTGGAACATCATAACTGACGAGGGAAACAAGGACCGGACCAAGACGGAACGCGGAAGGTCGGTGCCGATCTTCCCCGAACGCCGGGCGTCGCATGTGCTTCACAACGGGCGATGTTGCCTCTTTTCGGGCCCCTGGGCTCTCACATCTCGATCTGGCTAGACAAATTCGGATGCTGCAGATAGATGAGGTCCAGGGCGCTGGTCGTGATGCTTCGCGATGTTGCAATCTGCTTCGCAGCGTCTGATCGCACGGCTAGCCACCGTTACAATCTTGAACACTGGTCATCGACGATTCGTGGGCCGTCCTCTTGAGCAGGGACCGACCGCCCCAGCATTCCTATAGGCCTACCACGAAATATTTTCAGAATCCAGATTTGTGCGAAGAAAAGAAACTAAGGCATACACTCGAGGTAATAACACAAAAAACAGCTTCAACCAGACATGTCCTAAGACCATGTCGCGCAGACCACAAAAGGTTCATAGAACATTATCTGGTAGGACGCTTCGCCGCTGCTTGATCCTCACGAATCCTGCCCCAGATCTGCGTCGACGAGCTGCCGTGCCGCCTTGGTCGTTGTCATATCGTGCTTCTTCCTCTGCGGACCAGCCCCAGCGTGGTCTGCAGCGAGGGGGGCTCCAGGAGGGAGGCCTCGTGTTAGGTCGGGCATGTCCTCCCACAGGCAAATATTGAAAGGAGATGTTAATCATAGCGCAAGAAAGTGCTCCGAAACATTATCAAAAAAAATGAGAGGGGCATGCCCGACTTGAGCCTCGTGGCCGCCGACCACGCCGTAGCCGTGGAGCCCCGCGCCAGCGAAGCCGAAGTGAGGAGGCGCCCGGTCGTAGAGCTGCGGAGGGGCTGCACCCTCCGCCGTCCACACCGCCTGGCAGGAGAGGCCAACATCGAATCGAGAGGTCGGATCGGCGAGCGAAGAGAATCGGATCGGCCGAAATCGACAGCCGAGTCGGGAGGAATCGAACCCGCAGACGCCGGCAATCTCGGATCGGAGGCGTCGCGAGGAGCCCCGCCTGGTCGGCGGCCGCCGCCGCGGCGGCGGCCTCAGGGCTGGCCTCACGGACGGCCCGTCGCATGCTCTGGCGCCGCGGTCGGCGGATCGCCCCGAGAGGGCCAGGGGGGGGGACTCCTCCCTCCTCCTGCTCCTCCTCCTCCTCATCCTCCTCCTCGTCCTCCTCCTCCTCCTCCTCCTCCTCCTCCTCCTCCTCCTCCTCATCATCATCATCATCATCATCATCATCATCATCATCGTCGTCGTCGTCGTCGTCATCATCATCATCATCATCATCATCAGCATCATCATCATCATGTTCCTCCTCGTCCTCCTCCGCCTCTTCCTCCTCCTCTTCCTCCTCCTCGTCCTCCTCCTCCTCCTCCTCCTCAGCCGTTCTGGCTTAGGCATTTGGCCCTGAGCTTGCAAGCACGCACTTCAGAGCGGCTCGTGCTTGCGAGCCAACTGACACGGAGACGAGCTCGGCTGGCCCATGGCATCGCGCCGCGATGCGCCTGGGGTCCGAGCCTCAACGACAGTACAATGGGAATGCACGGGCAAGTGCGGAGGTTGCCCGAACTACACCAGCAGGGCGGAGTGCAGAGCGTGTGGGGCCAAGGCGCCGCCCAGCATTCTGGCCACCCTCAAGTCCTGCCAGCCCCTCAGCCTCGGAGCTGCGCCGTGGCGCGATGGAGGAGGAGGCGCCGCAGGCGCCGCCAAGCCCCAAGGTAAGGCCAAGGCCAAGCCGAAGGGTCAAGCTCGCGAAGCACAGTGGGACAAAGCCAAGAACTGGTCGTCCCACCTCGGCTGCAAGGGAGCTGGAGGCAACGGCAGAGAGGCGAAGGCCGTCGTGGACCTCAGCGTCGCCGAGCTGCTGGGAGCCACCAACAAGGCGCTGGTGGCGGCTGGCAAGGACGGCCTCACCGAAGGCCAGCTCTCCGTGGTGGTACCAGCTCCGTCCAAGCAGGAGGTGGCCGACATCGCCTCGAAGCCGCTGGCCCAGGTGCTCCAGAGGAAGTTGGACAAGAGCGAGCAGGTGGAGAAGGCCAAGGTACGCGTGGCGAAGCGAGCCCAGGAGCTGGCGGCTGCGCAAGAGGCCTACGACGCGGAGCTGCGGCAGCTCCGCAAGCACGAGGCCAAGTTGGCGGAGCTGGAGGCGATCGAGAAGACCAAGTGTGCAGAGGCTGCCATGGGCACCAAGGGGGACACGGTCGCTCTCCTTGGCCAGCTGGCGCTGCTCCTCGACGCCCTCGGCCAGAACGTGGACTTGCGGGATGGCAAGGCGAGCCTCGCGGACGCCCGCGCCGTCGCCGCCAAGACCAAGGAGAAGCTCCCGGTCGCAGAGCGAGCTGCAGCTGCAGCCAAGGAAGCCCCCAGCACTGGTGGTGCTCCTGCTGCTGACGGCCCTGGGGCCCCTGCAGGCGGCGGCGCAGCCAGCGGAGGCATGGAAGTGGAGGTGCCCGACTTCGAGGTGGACCAGGACCTCGCCGACCCGGTGGCCGCTGAGGTGAAGAAGCTGGGAGGCTCCCGTCCAGCCTTCGATCTGGACAAGCCTGAGGACGTCAACGAGCTCAGGCGCCCCCCCCCCCAAGTTCCTGGATGCACAAACATTGGCAGCCAAACGGATGCGCGTTTGACCATGGACAGGAAGGCCCGCGCCAAGCCTTGGCGGACCTCGGGAAGTTCAGGGGGTCCAACGCGCACGACTTGGAGTGGCCTGGGCTGGGGTACCATATCCCTGCAAGCCGCCCAGACACGTGCTTCTCCTCCAACATGGAGAGACGCGGAGCACTCAAGGTTGCCACCCCTCAGGCTAGGAGAGCAAACGAAGAAGGCAATGGCACGAGGAGACCACAGGCGCGGTCGTGTACTTCGGCGTCCGAGTCAAGCGGCGCACTCACCGTCCCTGAGAATCTGGAGACCCGTTCGCAGACGAAACCCACGCAGGGCTCGGGTTCACTCGAGCCCCTGGACCCACGCGAGGGACCCTGCGAGCGGGAATCGGCGGAGGGGCGGCAGAAGTCGCCACATGCAGGCAGGCCCAGTTCTCAAGGAGCTGCTGCGGGCCGTGAAGTTGCTGGAGGCATCGCGGAGGCCACGGGCCAGGACCCTGCCGGGCGAGCGGCCGCGTCGGCGCGCATGACGCTCGAGCGGAGGCTGAAGGCCTACGCCACGTTCTGGCTCCAGGACGTCTCTGTGCTCGACGAAACTGGAGATAGAGCGCACTGGCTGCGCTTGTGCGTGTCCTACGTGGCCGACCTGCTGACGCACGGTACGCGGGCGCCACTCGTCTCCGAGGCTGCTCGGAAGGTAGGCATCGACAACATGGGCGTGGTCAGACTCAGGATGGCGCGGGACTTATGCGAGGAGGCGCGGGCCGCACGGCGGCGCACTCGTGCCAACTACCCGCCAACATGCGCAGGCTGGCCCAGTCCGACGCACAGGAGTGGGAGGGGCAGGCGTCGCGGCTCGGGCGCTCCATGACCGAGGCGGGGGAGGAGTTCGGCTCGGTGCCTGGCAGGCGTGCTGCTGGCGCCGCCCGCGGGGCCGCTGCCGCGGCGCCTGCCAGGTCGCCGTCCGAGGAGGCGAGTGCGAGAGGCAGGCCTAGCAGGACCGCGTCCGCTTCGGAGGAGGGCGCGGGGAAGCAGGGGCCCCAGGTCTGCGGCGGCTTTGGGCCTCGGCGAGGTGGGCAGGAGACTCGTGCTCGTCGGCCTTCTGTCGGTGGGTCTAGGGCTAGCGCAGCTCGGGGTGCAGGAGTTCCCCCTGCCCCTAGCGCAGGCGGTCAGCAGCGCCTCGCTGCTGACAAGGCGCCGGACAAGCTCTTGATAGTGCCGGCAAATACCAACTCGTGGGCCAGCGGTCAGGGCTTCTTGTCGCCGGCTTGCAGGAGCACCGTATCAAGCACGGCGCCAAGCTGAAGTCGGCGGCGGCCTGGGCTAGGCGTGCTGGCTTTGAGTTCTTCGGGGGTCTGGCTCAGGACACGGGCCCGGGGCCCCCGGGCAGCTCTGGAGGAGCGGCAGTCCTCACGGTGATGGCGGCGGCCAGCGTAGAGAAGCCCAAGGAGTGCAGTGTGCTGGGGCCCCATCGGGCGCGAGCCGCGAACGCGGGCCTGGGCTTCCCGATCTGCTTCGCCTCGGCCTTCATGGTGGACAGCGCCGGGGTCACGGGAGACAACATTGTGCTGCTTGGGGCCCTGCAGTCTTGGGTCGGCAGCCTTGAGTGGCCGTGGGTCATCCTGGCCGACTGGAACATCGAGCCCGACGACTTGGCCAGCTGGGCCAAGCAAGCCTCAGGAGTGCTCGCGCGTCCGTGGAGTCCGACTTTCGGCAAGCGCGAGTACGACTACGCTACGCCATAGTGCCCGGGGCTCTTGCCAGTCGGGTTGGCGCGGTCAAGGTGCTGAGTGACGCCCCGATCTCGCCGCGCTCGCCGACCACCATCGAGCTGAAGGGCCTGCACCAGAGAACCACGGTCACCAGGGCGGTCTACCCCAGTCGGCACCCGCTGGCCGCGCCACCTCCTGCGCAGGCAGCGCCGCCCGAGCTCGCTGAAGACGAATGGCCGTGGTGCTCGGGGGCTGGGCCCACTGATGTGGAGGAAGAAGCCTCCAAGCTCTGGTACGCCATGGTTGAGGACTACCTTGACAGCCTACACCAGCTGGAAGGTCACAAGCGGAGCAGAGCGGCCAGAGGCAGAGGCCTGCAGGTGGAGACAGTCCCTCTGGTCCAGGTGCGGGTGGACACGCTGAAGGAGACGTCGAGCGCCGAGCGCCGCAAGTGGGCAGGCCTGCTAGCGGCTTGCAGAAAGGCGGCCGCTCTCCGAGGACACCAGCTGGACGACGGTTGGGTCAGGTACTCCCACTTCGAGCGCCAGGTCCGCATGGTGCGCGCGTTCGAATTCGACAAGGCGGAGTGGCCGACTACTGGGCCGCTTGCTGCCTTGGACCAGCATGCCATTGCGCGCGCAGTCCAGGGACTGGACGCGCACGACTACCACGCCCTCCTGGTCGACCTCCACGACCACGTCGTCTCCACCCAGAGGAGGGCCAAGGCCAAGCGTAGTAAGGAATGGAGAGAGCGGGCACAAGAGGCAGCTACCAAGTCAGGAGGCCAGAAGGCATACCTCTTCATCAAGGACGGCATCTTGATCCCGTCGACGGCGATAGCGCACGAGGACGACGAGAGCGACCCTGGCCTCCCAGTGGCAGGTCATGCCGCCATGAAGGTGCTGATGAAGGAATGGGGGAACTTCTGGGCTCACCCTGACAGGCAAGGGAATTCAGACCCACGGCTCTGGGCGCGCGGCGCAGGTGGCGCCTGGCAGGACCTCCCGCCCATCACCAAGCACGCCCTGGACTACGTGCTGGCCTCCTATGGGGAGGGCACAGGCCTTGGGCGGGACCGCCTGCGCCCACGGCAGCTTCGGTGGCTGCCGCGCCACTGCGGACAGGCGCTCCTGGACATCGTGGAAGCCTGGGAGAGGCAGCCGGCGCGATGCTCGCTGTGGATGTTGCTGGTGGTCTTCCTGCCGAAGCCCCCGCATGGAGGTGTGCGGCCCATCATCTTGGCCAGCCTCTGGGCTCGGGTCTGGTCGAAGCTCCGCCAGCCTATAGTTTCAGCTTGGGAGTGCAGGATCGACGAGTCCTTCCACTGGGGCACCTCCGACCGCTCCTGCGACGAGGCTGGGTTCGTGCACAACATGATGACCGCCTTCGCGAGGAAGTCAGGCACAGTGTCCAACACCCTGGCGATCGACCTCACGAAGTACTACGAGATGATCCGCCTCGACGAGCTCTACGACCAGGCGGTCGTGACGGAGTTCCCCGCGGCGCTGCTCAGGGCCCTCTGCTCGAGCTACCGCCCGACGCGTAGGGCGATGCTGGGCACGGGGGTCGGGCCCACCATCGAGGCCAACGGCGCCGCGTCAGCGGGCTGCTCGCGCGCGGTTGGAGTCGCCAAGCTGCTGACCTACACCCTGCTGCGCAGCATCGTCAGCAGGTGCCCGCCGGTGCGGGCCCAGAGCCTGGTGGGCGACTGCCTCCTCCAGGCAGTCGGCACGGCTCGCCTGGTGGGGCGCCAGCTGCCCCAAGCTGCTCACGACCTCTTCGAGGGCCCCCAGCAGAAGCGCCTCAAGTTAACTGGGGCAAGACGGGGTGGATGGCCACAGATGCGGAGCTGGCCCAGGAGCTGGACCACCACCGGTCTGACCTTGGCCTGGCCAGAGCCTCCGGCATGAGATGCCTCGGTGGCGACGGCAACGACGGCAGCAGGAGGCGAGTGCCGGAGCAAGACACAAGAGGCTCGCCCGAGCCAAGAGAGCAGCAGGCAGGATCGAGCTGCTGCAAGCCGCGGGGGCCAAGACGTGCCACATCTTCCGCGGCGCACCGTGCGCCACGGCGTGCTGTGACTTTGCGGTCACTGGCATCGCGGACGGCAAGCTGAACGGGCTCAGGGTGCACGCACTCAGAGCCGAGGGCAGGCTGGCCCCTGGCACCTGCCTGGCCTGCAGGGTGCGCACCATGCCGCGGGCAGTGGTCAGGGACCCCTTCGTGGTCAATGCTGTGGAGGTGGCCAAGGTTTGGTCCATCGGAGTTCGAGACGGGCTCCTCCAGCAAGAACTTGTCAGAGTGGTTCACGCAGACGCCGTGCAGCTGCTGGACGTCGACGAGCCGTGGAACAGGTGCACTGACCCAGGCCAGGCCGCTGTGCTTAGCCTCGCCAGAGCTGGCAGTCAACTAGCTCGGCACAACCTGTTGCTCGATCATCGCCAGCGCGAGATCGACCTCGATTTTTTTTCGCCTGGTGCTGTCTGCCAGGCGGTTCGTTTCTCTGCCTGTGCCGCCCCTGATGCCACAGCTCTGAGAAGGCTTGGGAGTCCTCAAGCTTCGGAGCTCCACTGGGGGCCCGTGGTTTCGGCGCTGGCTAGGACCTCAGAGCTGTGGACCAAGAGGCACGTCAAAGCCTTCAGATCTGTCAACTGCGGGGCCCACTGGAACCAGAGCAAGCTTCACGCGACAGCGAGAGCCACCCACCCGTGTTGCGTGAAATGCGGGGCTCGTGGGACCCTCTGGCACCGTTGTTTCGATTGCCCTAACACGGATTTCCTCAGGAGAGAGTTTTGTCCGCCCGAGCTGCTCAAGGCGGCTCGCATTGCCCTCGGAGAGCGCGAGGAGTGCGGTGAATACTTTGCCAGGGGCCTCCTGCCCTCGCTGTCGCATGTCTTCCAGGATCGAGATATCCTCGAAGAGGATCATATCCGCTTCGTGGGGTGTATGCCTGGATGGCTCTTCGAGGGAGAGGTTTTTGTGGACGGCTCATCATTTGTTACCCAGCATGACGGCCTGCGTCATGCGGGATGGGCTGTCATCAGCTGCAACGATGATGGCTCGTTCAAGTGTGGAATGTATGGTGCCGTCCCCTTGGCATAATCTTTGACGCAGTCCTCTAGGGAAACGGAAGATTATGCGTTCCACATGTAGTCGCGTTTCTCGGTCGACCCTGCAAGCGACGGGTCCCTGACAGTCTTCTCGGGTTGCGCTGGGTACATAGGCTGTGCCAGGAACGCCTCGAAAGCGCTGAGCCTCATGAACCCCAACAGACTTGTTTGGGAGAGCTGGTGGCTGAAGCACGGTGACAGTGCGAGCGTGAGAAAAGTCAATGCCCATTTTTCGGCATCACAAGATGCCTCTTTCTCCGATGAGTGGTGCAGGCTTGGCAACAGTCTCGCGGACCGATGGGCCAAAAAGGGGCCCAGCTATGGAAGGTTTCCCCAGAAGGTCCTCTTCACGGAAGCCTGTGAAGATATTGCTGTCAAAATGATTAGATGGATAGGACATGTGCACGCGTGGCTAGGAGACCACGAGGCCTGGGACACTGAGGGTGTGGTAGGCACCTCGGATGTTGTCCTTGACCTAGAATATGACACCGACGATCGCGACGCCGCGATCCTCGAGGAAGCCCTCCGAACCCGCGAGAGGCTTGACTGGAGGCTCGCCGCCCCTGCATCGCCGCCGCCCGAGCCCGAGCCCGAGCCGATCGATGTGAGGGGCGTGGAGGCGGGGGTGATGTCTGGGAGGCCGTGGCTGTTTCAAGGGCATTCGGTGGTGAAATGCGACGTGGAGGGTCCCGAACACCCATGCTTGTTTTTTGCAAGTCCTGCGGGGCCTCGCTGGCCCAGCGAGTGGTGCCTGGGCGGGGCATCGCGGGGGCCTGCTTGGGCCCGAGGCACCCTGGGCTTCGTACCCAGAGATCCCGTCCCCGTCGGTACCTCCACCCCTCGGCCCTCCATCCTCCTCCGCGGCTTTCTGCTTTTAGAGGCCCCGAGGACGAGGATATCGAATGGTTCCAGGGGAAACTGGGGGTGCCTGTTGGAGGTGTTGGGTCCTCGGTGGGGGTCGGGCCTTCGCTGGGGCCCGCTGGCGGGCCCCCTGGGGGCCCCGTGGCCAGCCGCTCTCAGGCCCCCGCCAGCTTCCACCAGTACGGGGTCTCGGTCCCCGTACTGGACCTGGGGCGAGTTGCTCGCCTGCATGGGTTCGCTTCTCCCGACTCGGCGGTAGAATGGGCGCAGGAGTCCAGGCGAGCTAAGCGCGAGGCCGAGGCCACAGAGGCCTGGCCACTCGAGGGCGACTAGCCCCGTTCCAGCCGCTGAGGCGGCAGGCGGACTTCGTCCGCCCTACCCCACACCACACCACACCACACCACACCACACCACACCTCCTCCTCCTCCTCCTCCTCCTCCTCCTCCTCCTCCTCCTCCTCCTCCTCCTCCTCCTCCATCCGCCCGAAAACTGCAGGCTGTCCTCGCTTCGCGCCGAGACGCTTCTGGGAGCTCTCTCGCGGGTTTTCTTGCAGATTTTCCTCGCCTCGGGATGCTCTTCCCAGCAACTGCGTCTCTCCGAGAGCGTACGTACCGCGGGTGCCCCAGATATCGCCCCAAACGGCCGCTGGAGGTCCGAGCTATGGCCCGGAGGCAACTCCTCGCGTCGCGAACAAAATGACGGCGAGAGGCCTGTTGCCGACTTCGGCATCTGGGGGCCCTTGCCCGGCCCGTCAAAAAACGACTCGGGATGAGAAGCCCGTCCCGGGGACGGGGCCAGACCTCTGGGAGTCCCCGCTGCGAAGAGAGGACGGCGTCGGATGTCCAGGGGGAGGGACACAAGAGCACCCAAGCGGGCCCTCTAGGGGGCCAGGGGACGGCCACAGTGGGCAGAAGCCGGCCGATCTCGACTGGTCCATGGCCCCCTGGGACGAAGGCAGGATGAAGGTACGGTCAACCCGTAAGGATGCGCGATCAGGATGCAAGGGCCTTGGAAGCCCATTTCGAAGCTTTTCGAGCAAAGCGCGGCCAACGCAAGTGGCCAAGGATGGACCGAGGAGGCACGGATGCAAGGGTACCCTTGAGAAGGTTGCCCATCCTTGCTGTGCGGGTTGACTGCGCGTGAAGTAAACTCTCATCGAGACGACCAGGAGCCCGGCGGCGGGTCTGGAGGCTGTGTGGGGTGCCGCGACCGCTTCCGAGCGCTCGGGAACGCCCTCCGAGAGCGTCCGGAGCGCTCTGGAGCAGGCTGCCTTCATCCTGGCCTGCCTGGCCATGGCCTCCCCAGACGCGGTTCCCCAAAGCTCCAGACCCCCTCTGGCGGCCCGGGTGTCCGCCACGCGAGGTTCTCTGACAGCCCTGGGGCCCCGCGGGCGTCCCCCCAGCAGGCCGGAAGCTGCCAGAAGCTTCCGCCGCGACCTCTTCGCGACGGGAGGATGCCAGGGCCCTCTCAGCCTCCACGTTCCCAGGCACCTGGCGTCGTGGACCCCCAGGACCAGCGTCTCATCCTGAGTCGTTCTTCGACTCGACTGGTCCTGGGGCCCCGCGAGGGCCGCCAGGGGCCTAAAAACAGCGAACACGCATCCCGCCGTGATTTTGCTCACGACGCGAGGGGCCTGGGCTCTGGGCAACCTTCGGCGCGGCGGGTGCCGCGCAGGGAAGCAGCAACAACGCGCCGCGGCGGCGCCCCACGCGCGGGCGGAGGCTCGAAGGGCCGAGGGCCAAAGGAGGAGGAGGAGGAGGAGGAGCAGGAGCAGGAGCAGGAGGAGGAGGAGGAGGAGGAGGAGCAGGAGCAGGAGCAGGAGCAGGAGCAGGAGCAGGAGCAGGAGCAGAAGGGGAAGAGGAGGAACACGAGGAGGAACACGAGGAGGAGGAGGAGGAGGAGGAGGAGGAGGCGGCCAAGCGGCCCGCCGACCGCGGCTCTTGGCCCTGCCCTCCGGGGACACGTCGACGTCGCCCATGGGCGTGGGGTGGGAAACCACCGACGAGTCCTCGCGCGGGCGGCGGTCCCTCCCTAACACACGGGCGTGGCATCATGCTTCCACCGCGGGGCTCTGCCGCCCAGCCTCGGGCCCCGGGGCCAGCGCAGGTCGATCCCGCCCAGGGATGGCCGCAGGAATATTGTGAGCGTTTTCGTGCATTCGGAGTTTCGACAGTGAGCGAAAAGGACTGACTCCGGACCTCTGGTGACTGCGACTGTTTGCAGCAGTGCGTCCATGATGGGTTCCACCTGCTTGAAACAGGCGCCAAAAACAGCCAAGATATTTTCCATGGGGCGGGGGAGGGGGTGCGAGGGCCCGCGCCGATCGGCAAAACAATGAAGAAGCAAAACGGTCACATGGGATCAACAGGGCTCTGGTCGTGATTTATCACGATGCTGCAGTCTGTGCCGCAATGCCGGATCTCAGGGTTGGGAGAGCGAGATTACAATCAGGAGCTTCTTCTGTATGGCGGAAGTCCTCCCCCTCCTCCGCCTGAGCTCGCCCCCCAGAGCCGCCCACGGGCGCGATCAGGGCCAGGATCTCGAGGCGGACCCGGGCCGAGGGCGCACTGGGAGGCCCAGCAAGGGAAAAACATACAGACACACAAATACGGACACGCACACTGACACAGAGAAAAACTCAGACACACCACGCACACAAACACACACATACACACACACACACACACACACAAACAAACACACACACACACACAAACACACGCACGCACGCACGCACGCACACACACACACACACACACACACACACACACACACACACACACACACACGCGCACACACGCACACGCACTCACACACACACACACACACACACACACATCGACGCAGACACCCATACACACATATGTTTTGGGCGTCACAGTCACGCGCGCGGCGGCGTGCGATAATTCTGCTGGCAAGCAAGAGAAGCGCGCGGGATTAGCCAGCTACCGCAGAGTGCACACGCACACACACACACACACACACACACACACACACACACACACAACTTCACGCAAACCTACCAACGCACACCCACACTCGCAGGCACTTATGTGTATGACAGGACACGGTGGAGCTGCGGGAAGAAGCGTCAGCTATATTTGAACCTTGTTTTCAATATCAGCTCAGGCACATGTGCGTCTGCCTCCCAAGGGGCTGGATGTCTGGCATCTCCAGGCGGTCTTCAAAAATCCTCTAGGGCAGCTCGCACGCCCGGGATTCTAGATGCCAAGACACCTGTAGCCAGCTCCCCTCCGCCACCAGAAAACGGCTCGAACAGAGCAATTGAAACCAAGCCTCGCGCGCAGCGCGTTGCTATGCCACGGTGCAGTGCAAGCATTGCTGGGATCGTAGCGAGCTCAGCACTGGATGATATAGTCGGGGTCACCTTAGTAGAAGATGTACTCGTCGTAGTCCTCGGGACTCCTGCCGCTGCCGCCGTCGGTTTCCCGAATGCCCCTCTCATGATAACGCGGGATGCCCTCTCCGCTTCACGTGCCTTGAGCGCCCGGCCCCCCCCCGTCGATAACACATTCGCCCTTCTGCAGGATCCCCCTCAGCAGGTCCGCGCACCCACTTCTCTTCGTCAAAGGGTCCGTGATATGGTGACGCTTGTCGTCCACCCAGCGAATCCCAGCTCCACTCTCCTTCGTGCTCTCCTCGGGGACAGCGATGTCCAGTGCCGTCCGTCGATCTTCGCTGGGTCCTGCTGATATGTCGTGGAGGTGGTCGCACAGACCCTCGCTGTCGGTCGCAACCGCGTGTGGAAGGGCCCGCCCTGCCTCCAGCGCAGCGCGGGCGTCCAGCCCAGGGAACGCAGGCCGCGCGAACAAGCTCCTCAGGTAGATGCCGTTCGCCTGGTCCTCCTCCACGCCCAGCGCCTCTGCCGCCAGGGAGTTCGGCGCCTTCCGCGCGAGGAGGCGTGACCTCCAGGCTAATGGGGAGATCCCCCCCCCGCAGCCCGTCGCAGATCCGCGCGCCCCTGGCCGCGGGGATCCAGCCCGCCTGGCTCGCCTGGTCCCCCGCGTTCGCCCGCGCGGCGTCGGCCACGGCATGGAAGCCCGCGTTCTCCTACTCGATCGGCCTGCTCTTTGGAGGTCTGGATACGGGCGCGAACACCAAGACATGGGGCTGCCTCCACAGGAGGGAAACATCCTAGGCGTCGGTGTTGGCGGTAATATTTCGGCCACCTTGGAAGCCAGAATATGACCGCCATCACCGAGATCGGGATGGTCTTCTCTGGGTGGAGGCACATCGCCGATCCCGGCGTCGGCGTCGCCCTCTAGGCCTGCGAGCTCTAGAGGCTCGCAGGAAAAAGATCTCGCATACCCTTACCACGCAGTTCCCGCCCAGCAAGAATGGCACCTTCGGCTTAGGAAGCGCGCTCTGCAGCAGCGAGACCAGACCGCTCAAGTCCGGGCGCGTCTCTCGACCGATGTAATTGAGCGAGCCTGCCACGGCCCGCAGTCCGGAGATCTCCTTTTCGTCACACGCATCGTTGATCATCGCGCGTCGCCCGGCGGACATGTTGATCAGCTCGATCTCCTCTACCATGTCCCCCTGAGAAGTATTGACCGACGTGTCGGGCAACTTCTCCAACTGTTTTCCCAGAAAATCGCCCCTGCCTTTCTGGAACTTGCCGAGCGGAAACCTCGCCTGGATCCTCTCCATCGCCTTCTGGAAGTACTCGTCTCCTCCTCCGCACGCAGCCCACGACCAGTGCCAGGGGCCCTCGGCACACGCCGCCCTGGCGCAGAGCGGGCACGGGTCGCACGAGCTGATCTCAAAGCCCGCGGCCAGCACCACCGCGGCGAAGCTCTTGCACCACTGCAGCGGCGCGGCGACCAGCCCGCAGACGCGGGCCAGCACCTCCAGCAAGAAACCGGGATCAGCTCCAGGAGCTCCATCGGCAGGTAGCTCGCAGTACAGGGGCCCCCGCTCCCGCTGGTACTTGCGCCCATTAATGAAGGCGGAACTAAAGCCCATGGACACGTTCAACTGCACGCATGCACATCATCCAGGCCTCCTTCGACATCATAGGCGAGTAGGTTTCCGGCTGCGCGAGGTCGGGGCCCTTGTCCCAGCGCCCAACCCAACGACACTTCGTCGTCACTCGACGACCGTCCTTCGGCTTCCAGGTGTAGCAGCGTCGGCTTGGCATGATCCGATCACCGAGCTCTTTCCGGGCTTTCTTTGCCTCGCACAGCGGCGCGATGCGGACAGCGCTCGCACCGCGGATGTTGTTCCACTCCGTGCTCCTGGCACCCATGAACTGTTCTCCCCCCATCGTCCGTCATGTTCTTCAGGTGCGCCTCCTTTCTCTTGGCTGCCAGGAAAGGTAGGCTGTCTCCACCAGCTGGTAGATCGACTCCGCCGCGTCGCCCCTCGGCGGCATCTCGGACGTCTCGCCAACTGGCTTATTCGAGGTTCCGGCCCTCTCTGGCACGAGGGCCGGCGCATAGACCTCATGGGCTGAACTCTTGGCGGTGACCCTTCGCCTCGACGGCTCCTCCTCCGCCTGCGGCTCCCCGATCATGGGTGCGTCTGGTTGCTCCTCGCCTTCATCCCCGGCCCCACCTCCGAAACGTGGCGGCGCCGCGTCGGGCGCTGGCGGTCCAGCTTCCCTCTTCTCCTCCTAGCGTTCGTCCTCCGCGGCGCTCTCGGCTGGCATCGGGGCCCGCCCGTCTCCCGCGCCCGGAGGACCTAGCTGATCGGAGATGTCCTCCCCCTCGCGCTTCCCTTGGCTTCCGACTGGCTTCCTTACGGCCCCGGTCTCCTCCGCGTAGCGATTGGCCTGCAACTCGGCATTCGTAGCCGCCCGCAGCTGCTTCCAGCTACACAGCATGACACCCCCTTGATACGATGCGTAGGCCTTCCCCGGGATATTGGTGTTGATGACGGTGGCTGGCCCTCCCCAGTGCTCCCAGGCCACGCGCTCGGGCCCCTGCTGTCTCCAATAATAGATTTTTCCCCTGGCTCCCAGTCGCCACGGCACGGAGTGCTCCTCTTGTTCTTAGCCATGCCGAGTCGGCCCAGCGCGGATTCTCGAGCATACGCTTCGCGGGCTGCGAATCACAGCCCGATCGCCCACGCCAGGGCTCGGTCTCCGGCCGCACGGCGAGATACCGTCTCAAGGCCCACGCCGGCGTCGTCCTCGCGCGCCCCCTTCAGGTAACTGATCTCCTCGGCCGAACGCGCGGAAGTCAGGTCCTCTCTCAGTCACGGCACAGCTGACCGCGTCAAACAGCGCCCCCTGATCCTCGGCGCTCAAGATCGTCTCGGTCAGCCTGATGCGGTAGTGGGTCCTCTTCCAGAATTGCCCCGCGGTCTCTGCCTTCCCGTTCTGGTACTCGCTCTCTGCCCCGACTGGGTCCAGCCGCCTCGCGCCTCCGCGATTGCTCGATCCGCAAGGACCCCCCTGATGGTGCCCCTCTCCTGGTCGCTGATGATGCGCTGCGGCCTGCATTAAGCCCCCAGCCACTACTTGCGGCACGACTCTCTGATCGCGGCGCATACCCTGTCCGGGAGCCTGACGACCACCTGCTCACCAGTGCCCCAGACGACAATGTCGAGGCACGGGGTCGCCTCGTTCTCGGGCATGACCTGGTTGCCCCGCGTGGTGCCCACGCACAAGAGGCCCACCCCGAGCACCTGGTTGAACCCGAAAATCTCTGGCGTAGGTAGCCTCGCGGGTGGCGTAAACTTCGGGTGGCTCATGGCGTCGCAGACGTCGCACTTCTCGATGACCTTCCCCACGGCATCCAGGAGCTCCACTTCGGCCTTCGCCATCTTCAGGACAAGGGGTCTTCCGAAGGTCTGCGCGCCCCGGGTCGGCGCGCACCCCCCTCGCGATCGCCCCCTAGGTCTCCGCCAGGTCCGACGGAGGCTGAGCCATTGAGGGCCATCACCAGCTTCATCTCCTCGACGAGGCGCTGGATGGTCTTGTCGATGACCTCGCGGGTCGCCATCGCCAGGCTCGAAGGGAACGCCTGCGAACTCTTGTGATAT